CTTACCTAAATGAGAAAAGAGTGTATATGCATGGTCAAAATGAGTCGTATTTGAATGAGCTGGTATCATACAATACATACAACTTTTAGTTTACATGTACTTCTATTGGAGATAGAGTGCTTTCAATGGAGCAAATATGGTACTGTTAAATACTTTATTTTAGCTGGAATTAATTTTCGCCAAAAAGACATTTTGTATGGAATTTATTTTCACTGATTTTTGACAAGTTGCATGTAAAATATAGGAAAAAAGGTATCGGTATATTCACTGAATTTTATTTTGACTGAATCATTCCTTCAGCGAAAATTAATTCCAAGCAAAAATAAAGTATTTTACAGTACACTGTAGCCTCGTTATAACGAACTCTTTGGGGACATACATTTAGTTTGTTATAGTGAAATGTTCACTATAATGAAGCACATAAAGCATTGGGTTTGTTGTGAGCGGGAGACATGTTATGTGTTCATTGTGTATCAGGAAATTCATTATAAAGGTGTTCAATATATATTGAGGTTACAGTGTATATGCATTTATTGAACATATACACAAACACACTTAGAATTACCAGATAAATACAATACATACAACTTTTAGTTTACATGCACTTCTATTGGTGATAGAGTGCTTTTAATGGAGCAAATATGATATATGCATTTATTGATTAAACATACTTAAAATTATAAGATATATACTATACCTTGTAAAATGGGCAGCTAGTTCAATATGTGCCGCAAATATGTCTGTATGTCTTGATCTTCATATCAAAAAACTTTTAATTTACAATTTTTATATTTATTCAGACTTACAACAATCAACATTTTCAATTTATGTCAGTTTCAACAAATTTCACCACATAAGATTAATTTTATTTCATATAAAAAAATGCACATATTCATAAATTACTAAAAGTTTCATAATTAAATATATGAGAACTATACATATTTACAGCAAATGTATAAAGCAATCTAGAGAGCAGCAAATAATAGCAATTTCTCGTCACAAACAAAATTGTAAATAATAAATAGGATCTATTGCATTGAAATGTTTCATAATTTAAAGATATCAGACTATATACAATCTATTAGAAGTGCATGTTCTGGTAGGATTGTAAAAGTACATGTAGCATTGAATTTACATGGTGTTCCAGTCATACCTCACTCTACTCCAGGCTATGAAGTAATTGATTAGTTGTTTTGCATGGCATGGGCCTTGTCAATCACTTTGGAATCATGTGGTTATGGGGAATTGCCTTGAAAGTGTGTGACAACTTAATGGGTAATGAGATTTTACTAGCATTGTACATAGGCATTTTGGAGTAAAATGTAGTGATCACTTATGACATCACATAGTATGTGACATTTGCATAATTCAGAATCAGTAAAGAGATATTACAAGCATTGTACCTAGGCATTGTGGAGTGAGGTGCAGTGAGACTACTTATGATAGCCCATAGTGTGGGAGATTTGTACAAATCTAAATTGGTAATAAGATATTACTAGCATTGTATGTAGGCATTGGGGAGTGAGGTGTAGTGAGACTACTTCTGACAGTGCATAGAGTGGGACAGTTGCATAAATCTGAATAATAAGATATTACTAGCATTTTACATAGGCATTATGGAGTGAAGTGTAGTGAGACTAATTATGACAGCCCATATAGTGTGAGACATTTGCATAAATCTGAATAAGATATTACTAGTAATATACCTGGGTATTTAAGTGAAGTGGAACACTGCATAGATTCTAGGCTGAACACAAAGCTTACATCCATGAAAACAATAACATATTCAATGCACATATTACTGTAATTTACTTTATTTTAGCGGGAATTTATTTTCGCTGAAAAAACTTTTTAAGTGTTTTGTATGGAATTTATTTTCACTAAGTTGAATACACAATATAGGAAAAAGTATATTCGCTGGATTTTATTTTCACTGAATCATTCCTTCAGCGAAAATTAGTTGCAAGTGAAAATAAAGTATTTTACAGTATGCACTTCTAATAGGGCCTATTTTTACAGTATTTTTTTTCCTAAAATTGGAACAGATACAGTGCTATGAAGTTGACATAGGACTGTCAGCTAGCATACAGAATAGAATTTCGAACTGATGACAAACCTGAGCAAAATCTATCAACATAGGGATAAAATTCAGAACATCTAATAATCAGAACAATAATTTCATGAAAATACAGCAACTATACTCAAATTACTAAAATTAATGATCTATGCAATGAACAGATGAAATTATACACACTTTAATCAAAATTTCACGAAAGTAGCCCTATAAATTTTTCCCAATTTACAGTATTTTGTACATTATACTACAGTTGCTGTGAGAAGCCTATCACTAATAGAAGAGAACCTAAATCAGTAATTGTTATTACTGCATACTCAAAGGCAACTTATTTTGACTATGGTCAGTGTCATTTACTGGAGCATATGCGATACATAGTCCAAATATAGTGTATAGTGATAGGTAAGTTGGATTGTTAAATACTTAGAACATACAAATTGGCAAGACACTTTATACCTTAAAGCAAGGGGGTCGTCACTTGCGCATGCGCGGGAATTGAGTTC